ACATTTATGTTCTATTTTTGAACAAAACATTCCTTAGTATGTTGACATAGTGAACTGCATAGTTAGCGATATACTCTATTTTAATATATGATATAACCAAAGGGAGAAGATCATTTCTAATATCAGATTTTACTTTTAGGATGAACATTACTTTTTAGAAAATATAAGGATCAAATTATTATAATGAGTTTCCCATTAGAAGGAAAACATAAGATTATTATATAACTTGTCATGATTCCAAATTTAGAGGGCATTTAAGACAATTTAGAATAACATCCAAGAATTTATAATATGGATTTTTCTAGAGGACCCTCTTTAAAAATTTTAATGATTATATTAAGAAGTGTGATTGGTATCAAGGGGGAGATAATATGTCCTTAAATTATATTTTGCAGATTGACATATTTAATGATTGGGGAATAGAATTCATAGGACCTTTTGTGTGGTTTTTAGATAATAATTATATTTTGGTGGCAGTAGACTATGTCTCAAATTAGATTCAAGCCAAATATGATTCACAAAGTGTTTTGATTAAAAAAGAGAATATTTTTAGTAGATTTGGAGCACCTATGATTATAATTAGTGATGGGGGAAGACATTGCCGCAAGAAAAGAATTGAGATATTTGTGGTTAAATTTAGAATCAATATAATATTTTTGCTGCTTATAATCCTCTAACAAGTGGATTAACACATGTATCCAACACGAAGATCAAAAGTAGACTAGAAAAATTATTAATTCGAGCAGAAAGGATCAGTCACTCTGGCTAGATGAAACTTTATGGGCCTATAAGCACAACTCACCCTTAGGAATCTTCCATTATATGTTACTTTTTTAAAAAAGCATGTCATTTTTCAGTAGAGTTAGAGCACAAAAACTATTCGACAATTAATGAATTTAATTATAATTTTAAAGATTCAACAAAAAAAAATAATTACAGTTGAACAAATTAAAGGAGATTATATTAAAAGCTTATGAGAATGTTAGGATCTATAAAGAGCGAAAGGAGAAATGACATGACAAGACGCTTATTAGAAAGAAATTTGTACTTGGAGAAAAGTTTTATTGTATAGTTGAAAACTAAAATTATTTTCAGGAAAACTTAAATACATGTGGTCTGGTCCATTCATTGTAGTAAATATATCAAGGATAGAAAAATTGTTTGGGTGTCTAAGGTTATTGGTCAAAGACTAAAATTATGCTTAGGAAGTGATATGAATAAACTTAAAGAAACTCAGACATTGGGTTAACCCAAATTGTAGCATATGATATTATCTGCTTGAGAACATTAAACCAAGTGTTTTTTGGGAGCAAACCAATTGAATTTGTGTGGGTTTTGCTTTTGTATTTGCTTTGAAAATTCAGGTGTGCCTTGCTTGTGATTATTGATTAATTTTCATGTAATTTGTGATTTTAGGTTGTGCTCATTAGTGATTAGTTTTAGTACTTTTTTGCTTTTATCAGAACCTTCTTCTGGTGACCCTCAAATAACTCGTAAGCCTAGAGTCCTTGCGCCACATCGACGACGCATAGGTGTCACATCTAAGTGGATTATGAGAAAAAAAGAGAGTAAACTTCCCTGTAAGTGCTTTAAGTTTTGAATTTGGGGAGCATAACACTATTTCATATTAGCTAAAATTTGTCCAACCACTAACCTTAGTGAGATCACGAGGGAGAGAGTGGTGTTAAACTATTACATTTAGGTGGATAAATCAATTGATATAGGAAAGATTATCAATTCCTATATTTACAAAACTCTTAGAGGAGGGTCTACTTTAGTGATTTTTTGCTTATGTGTTGGTGTCAGAGTGAAGTACGAAAATTAGGAAGAGCAGTTTTACCTTTGAGACCGATAACGATGAAATCCATACATGGGTATAATTAGATGGCTTTTGGGAAATTTATGAGTGTTGACCAGCCTAATTCTTTATAGCCTAGTACTTCATAGCTTTGACCTAAGGCTTTAGCTGTGTTCACTGCCCTATACGAATGCCTCAAATTTATTTCTCATGCTTGACATCATATAGTGGGAGCTGCATCAATTCATGAGCAATCTCAACACTCTGAACTCCAATGGTAGTACCAATTTGAATATATGTTTCAATACCATGTTGCTTAGTAAGAGCTGCACCACCGCAAGGGAAGGAACACTAGGCCTGATCCGGCACACTTTCCTATTGCCTCACATCACAAGCTATGTCATGAGGAGGATGAGAATACAGAGGAGGAAGATGATGTTCATGATAGAGATATTGTTTGTTGTTGTCAGGAGAGCATTCTGATGATTAGTTGAAGTGGTGTTGCTTGTTTTGTTTTGTATTTGTCTAGACTTTCGCTAAATTTTATCTGCAACCTATAATTATGGTATGTTTTAGATTCTAATATTGTCAATATGTTATGTATTTAGCATGTGATACGTGGTGATTTTTTTAGAGATGCATCGATGTGCTATCATAGATATGTTAACATAATGCTTGTTTTTTGCCACCCTATTTTTTATCCTTTAGTACATGTGTATTTTTAATGTTCATTTTAATGTCTACTCTACTATTTTGTTTTCCTATTCTATTGTATTTGCATGTGTAGTGTTATGAATAAGTTTGAGGGGAAGTATATGTGTTAATATTGCTTGAAGTGTTATTATAAATATGTTAACATAATGCTTATTTTTTACCCCTTGTATTTGTATACTCTAGTACATGTGTATTTTTAAAGTGCATTTTATGTTCTACTCTATTATTTCATTTTCCTATTCTATTGTATTTCCATGTATAGTGTCATGAATAAGTTTGAGAGGAAGTAGATGTGTTAATATTTCCTTAAGTAAATTAAAATTCTAACTTGGAATTTACATAAATAAAGTGGTGGTAGTAGTTGAAGATAAGTGAGAACCAATAATAAGTAAAATGTTTGAACTAAAGTGGCATGGGTTTCATGAAAGATTTAGAAGATATTAGTGATTCACTAATAATTGATCCCTAACCATAATAATTACTCATGTTTACAATCCCTCTTAAACATGTAGTTGAATATTACCTATACATATAATTGATATTTCAATATTATAAATTTTGGTAACTACTTGATTTAAATGAGTTGATTCTTAGTTACTATCTCTCCAATTACAAAATGTTTAGTTAAAATAGGATACTAATAAAATTTTGATTTATAAAGAGGTTTTTCTCTACCTAACCTATTAAAGTGTGGTGACTATCAAAAAGTTGTGATATGACTTTCTAAAATTAAAATAAATTTGTATTTGTCACAACAACTCTATGAATAAAAACTTTTTCTACAACAACATCACAGCTGCTTCTTCAAACTATTGTAACTGCCCCAAACATGCCCTTAGAATATTCATAAAAGCTGTTGTTCCAAAATATATATAGAAGAAACATATAATATTTCCGCATAAAAGTTGGAAGCACCTAGGCAGCCAAAAAATAGTAATAACAATAATAAAATTGATCTCATAAAAACTCTCAATCTTTGAGACTATTATTAATTTTTTAACAATAAACAAATAACCAAAAATTTACATTTTAAAACAAAAAAACCAAAATCGACTTTTCAAATTGAACCCAAATTAACCAGATCGAGTCCAAAGCCTATTTCTGTCCATGTCAATAGTTTCTAGTTGCGGTGGCTGACATTCAACTGCTTTATCCATTCTCTATACAAATTCAAATTTCAGTTCAGATGTTTAAATCATAATTAATCACCCAACAAACAAATTAAATCAAATCTTAATTGAGCTTAAATAATTCAATCTCATCTTAATTATATCTAATAAATTTTTCTTAAAAGTGATAACAGAAATTAAATTGCGCGTTTGAATCGAATGTCATTATAATTAAATTTAAATCAATTTAAGATAGCGGGCCCAATTTTCAACGCTTAAGCAATGCCATACGGCCCAACTAACATCCCAGAAAACAATTGATAAATTAGAATTTGAATGATAAGCTTTTCTCTTTTTCGTCAGCAGCGTACTTTTCTCAGATCATGATCTACGAAGAAATTCCCTGCTAGTTTTGCCACGTGACCTCCATGTGCGTTTTTCGGTCGTGGGGCCACCGAGTTCCGTTCTGTTGTTCCCGCGGAACTGTATCTTTTGTGGCTCACAATCCCTTACGTTTTAGGGTCAGGTTGTCGAAAAAATATTACATGAAGACTTCTAATACCATCAGAGTATAATAATAATGTGTTATATGTCAAATGGACTCCACTAATTTTAAGACTATCAAATATCAGTGTATTACGATAGGACCCGACATGTGAATATATTTTAAGATTTTTATATATTAAACATTTAACATATTAAATATAATATTTTTATTTAAATGGGCCCGTACGAAGTACATACATATGATCTGAAATTTATTATTTACAAATCAACTATCCCCCCTCATCTATTTTTCAAATTCTATTTAAAATCATAATAAAATTTTTAACACATTTTTTTTTTTTACCAAAATTCTAAAAATTTAATTGTGAAATACATATTTATAATTCTATTCTTATGTATTAATATATAACCAATCAAATTTTAATTTTTACATACAAATCATGATGGTTTGTTGGTAAAAATTAAAGTTTAGGTGATTCGTGTGTTATACTCAGGGTTTGGATGGTAGGTATGTAAATATTTTTTAAAAATAATTAAAAAAATTTATCTATGTGATTAATTTATAAATAAATGTTTCAAATTGTTTTTTTGAAATTATCACTTAATATAATATTTTATTCATCCTTAATTTTCACTTATAAATTTTATGAGAACATTTAAGAGGGTAGTTGAGATGCTATGTTTAAATTTTGATAATTAAAATATTATATTTAAAATTTTAGGAAATTATTATTTTAAAATTATATTTATATATATA